TTATTTATTATACTATTATAGAGTTTATATGATCTGAGACCCAAAATATAAAAAGGTTTCACTTGCATGGAGTAGTAACTGCAAAACCCCATTCAAATCTGAATACATGTGAATATGTAATATAGCGAAGTTTTTTTTTAAAGAAACAACATATTAAGTGAACTCACACCAAAACAACTGGGTGCAACAGAATTTTAAAAAAATCTGAGATGTGTACGACTACAGAGATCAGCAATATTACTCTTTCTTACTATACCTTCCAGAATACTGCAGCAATCTTGAGCAGTGGTCAAGCTGGCTGAGATATTCTAGGAGATATAATTCCCAAACTAATTTCCATCTTTTTTCCATTTACACAGTTCTAATGAGAAAATGAGTCTTTATTCCGTATCACGACTCTATAACAACAAACTAATTTTAGTAATGAAATATCAAGTGTTGTTTTCAAATATTGAAACATATGGTTTTATAACGGATTTACCATCTTTTTGCTATGTACATATTAGAGATGGGGACGAAGCGCCAAAAAGACTCACTTTCTCATTAGGACTGTGTAACTGGAAAAAAACAATTTGTCAGTTTGTTGGATTTTTTTTTTTAAAAAAAAAAAGACAGCCCATAGGGCTATCTAAAAAAGAGAGCCCCGGCTGGCACAGACTGACCCTCCACCCCTTTCCCACTGCCTCCTCTGTTCTGTGGCAGCTTCCACGGAAACAGAAGCTAGACTGCTGGAAATGCATTTTCAGTTCCAGCAGCCGAGCTTTTGCAAGGAGAAGCGGGGAGGGCTTTTTTATAAAGTCTTATAATAAATAACAAAGGAATTTCTAGTTTTAGTTTTAAGTACAACATGCACCCTAAATACAGACTTCATTAGTTATACTACTGCAACTGTTGAGACTTGAATTAGAGACTAACTGAAGTCCCGCTGATTTCAACAGATTGAAGTCTACCTAAAGTCTGTCTAAATGAATAAATATGAATGTAAGTTTTTACTAACCTGGGAGACTCCACAAACCAGAAACTTCTAAAGTTCTCAACTTTTTCTCCAACTCTGCTACACGATTGCCTAGGATCCTAAAATAGAGATATCATGACATAATGCTTTTAAAATGATACCAATCCTAGAATGATGAGATGTTCTGTTTAAAGGTTTTATTTGCAAGGTTTGATACACATTCCCTTATGAAAATACTTTATTTCTGATACATGCCCTTACACTTATAAAGATACATTATTCAGTGGTGCCCCGCTTGATGATTACCTCGTTAAATGATGAAATCGTTTGACGACTAGTTTTTTGTGATCGCTATTGCGATCGCAAAACGATGTTCTTATGGGCTTTTTTCAGGAGTTTTTTGTGATCGCTATTGCGATCGCAATACGATGTTCTTATGAGCTTTTTTCAGTTGATGATGATCAGTTCTCTGCTTCGGGAACCAATTTTTCGCTTAACGACAATCAAAAACAGCTGGTTGTTGGGTTTTCAAAATGGCTCCCTGCTGTGCAAAATGGCTCCCCACTGTGTTCAGGATGGATTCTTCGCAAGACAGGCACCGGAAAATGGCCGCCCTATGGAGGATCTTCACTGGATGGTGAGGTATTTTGCCAATTGGAATGCATTAACTGGTTTTTAATGCATTTCAATGGGTTTTTTGCTTTCGCTTGATGACGATTTCGCTCTACAGCGATTTTGCTGGAAGAGACTATCGTCGTCAAGCGGGGCACCACTGTACATGAATACTCTACATATCACTGTCATCATCATCATCTCTTTATTGGCATAATACAGCAAAGTACAAAAAATAGTAAATAAAGCACCAATAAGCAAAATAGAATAAAATAGTAAACAGAGAAGCAATAAACAAAATCCAGCTACTCACAGATTACTATAAAGGTTACATTAAAAAGTGTAAAGCCAGCGATCAAATAAGGCCCCGTTAACTAGATCTGGGTAGCATCCTTCTTCAATCAATTTCAAGGAAATTGACACTTTCTCTGACACATCAGCATTAGTATATGAAAGAGTATACCTTATTTTCTCCAGATCTGCCCAGCCCTCCCTCTTCCTAAGGCACTTCTCCAGGACACCAGAGCAAAGGTCCTTATAGAAGGGTCAGTATAAAATCATGTGTTTGAAGGAATCCTTCTCACTTATTCAACAAATACAGTTTTTCTCCTTCGTAGAGATTCCTCTAAATCTCCCATGTAGCACCTTGGAGGGCATAGTGTTACTTCTAGCTAGGGAAAAGGCTCTCTGGGATTAGGACTTTTTAGGAAATAGAAATAATCTGCCATATGTCTGCACCTGACCTGAAGCTGCATGTATAAAGGCAAACAAATCTTATTGGCTGCCCTCAACAGGTCCTGGTGTTCAACATCTAAAAGTCTTTTAATAAAATAGTACGAATGTTCCAATTTAAGAGCTGAAAATTTCCAAGTTCAGACCAATGGCTTAAATTTTCCTTTCAAAAAGACATTTCTCTGGAGAGCTCCGCTTCTTGTAAGAGGTGATGGAGCAGGCTATCGTGATTGGATGTGTAAAAGATTCTTCAAGCGCGTATTTGAAGAATCTTAACCAATGTCTCCAGCCTGAGTATCCGTCTCTAAACAAAGCACTACATAAGCTATGCAACCTGGCAATCCAAGAATTTTAAGTAGAAAAGAACCCTGGATCGGTTCCAGGAATGGTCCCATGAATTCAGCCAGATTGGGACTCCATAAAGGGCTAGGAGGATAATTTTAGCTCTATAAACTTCAAGATCTCCCGGGACGGACCTCTACTGTATAAAAAATGTATAATGACTTGGGCTGTGATCTTAGGGTTATTCCTGATTGCCCTATGTTGTGCAGTCCAAGAAACATTAGTTTGAAGTAGGACTCATAAATTTTGTTTCCATTGATATTCCAAATGAAAGATTTCCTTGATTTACCAAAGACCAAGAAGTTAGACTTATTGTAGTTGATTTGGAGGCTATTCTTTTCTAGATATTCAATACATCTCAATCAGCAAACATTTCAAACCAATAAGAGTCCTAGAAAGAATAACCGCCTCATCTACATAAAGCAGGAGAGGAAGAAAAAAGGAGGCCCGTTTTGGACTCTGGTCATCTACCTTGACTAGAAAGGGGGCTAGATCATTTAGAAAAAAGTAAGTCATAAAATGCATCCCTGTTTAACCCCACTATTAGTTAAAAAGGGGCTCTGACAGTTCCCTTTTTTGGGGTCACCCTAAACTGCAGCTGGTCTTCACATACAGATTCCTAATTAATAGGAATAACCTTCTGTCTATACTATACTTAAATGCAAGAGTTTGTTCCAGAGAATATTCCTATCCAATGAATCAAATGCAGCCTTCAAATCCAAGAAGGCCACAAACCGTTTTGACTTAGCTCTAAAGATCTGTTTCTCCACAAAGTATGACAGTAAGGCGCAATGACCTAATGTAGATTTCTCCTGTCTGAATCCGTTTTGTTCACTTCCAAGAAGGGACTCATCATTAATCCAATTCACAAGTCTATTTAGTAAGGTGTTTGTCATATAATTTGCCAATAACAGAAAGTAAATCTATTGGTCTGCAGTTGGCTTGTGAACTATGGCCAACCTTTCTGTAAATTGGAATGATTATAGCTTTTGCTCAGTCTCTGGGCATTATACTAGTTCTATCTGTGATGAGATGGGTTTTTGAGTTAAAGCCTTGTAAGGAATATGGGGTTTTGTAATTAAGAAATGAGCAAGAGAGGTTCCATCTTGTTTCTTTGTATAAAGTATCTTTGCTATGCTGACAGGTTGTTTTCTAGGTGAGCGGAGAGAACTATCCACTGCTGCGAAGAGGCTGTTCAACATCATGGCCTATCAGTCCAATTCATCGTTTAACATATTGGCTGGTATCACATCAAGGACTGGCACTTTGTTACTTATAATTGCCTAAGTTCTCTGGACTCCTCACTGGAGACTGGTGGCCTTTGAGGGCAGTTAAGGAGAGTGAAATCATTTCAGAGATGAGTTCTATTTTGCTCAAAAAACAGAGAGAAGTGCTGTACCCAAATATGTAGTGGGATCATCGAGGGATCTCCTTCAAACCTGTGAAAGGAATCTGAGATAATATTCCAGAATTGTTTACATTAATAAAGTCTTTCAGTTCTTTTTTCAAAATGGGAAGTTGGGATAGGGTCGTAATTGTGTTGGACTCTTTAAAGTGTTGGTATGTCTCTCTAATGAGATCCTTTAAAGTTACACAGTCCTTGTCGAACCAGCTCCATTTTTTTTCTGTCATTATAGTAGCTAGGAAAGTGGTCCAGTTTGGCCACCATACGCATGATTCACCCTTCATAAAATTTGATATGCTCTACCGGGTCATCGGTAAAGGTGAATGAGATACCCAAGTCAGGCAACGATTTCAGTAAGTAACAGGCTTTTTGTTTAGTAGAGGTGTCCATCCTGATTTTTTTGGTAAGATTTCCAAATCCTTCTTTGAGACAGTTAAACCCATATTGATGGGGTTCTCAAGTTCCAGATGGCAGTCATTAATAAAATAGTCACCTATCCATAATGTAGGGTTTGAAGGCCAGTGGAACTGAAAGATAATGAAACTGGCACCTTGTCAGGATACAAACGTACATTCCCCTGCACTTTTGAAGTCAGCTCACCACAGCAGGTGCTGTTGTGCTGAAAACAGAATCTAGTCAAATTAAGTCCTGCCATGTTAGATTACTTTAGACCAAGTAGTAAGCAGACAGGGAGTGGGCAGTGTGTCTTTACCTATTTTCCACATCAGGTTAGAAATGTCTTCAACACTTCAGATGGGACTGAAATAAAATATATTATAGGGCTGCACAATTCACCTCTTGGTGAAGTTAATTTATTCCCTCACATTTGGTCAAATCTCATCCCTTGCTATTGTGCATCCAGTCAATACATTCATGATTCCTATGGGCCTTGTACTCACATAACTCACAGTAGGATCTGTATCTGAAGAGGGGAGAAGGAGCAGGGAAGTCTGACACTCTATGATATTTTTCCATTAGAGATATATGGAGCATAAAATATCAAGTTAACTCATGATATATATCACAAATTCAGAGTGGTGGAGGGAAGGTATCACAGCTGAAGAAAAGGAGAGATCGACCACTGGTTGTAAAGGAAAATTTAGTATTATAAAGGAGAAGTATTTACAAGGATTGTGAAGACTGTTGAAAAAAGAAAATGAAACCTCCCCACAAAATACTTTAGCACTTTAAAGACCAGGTGAGGATACAACAAAGTGACAAAAAAAAGCATTATGTTTCATTAAACAACATTAATTTTGCTATTCCTGTGCCACACACAGACATACAAAATGTAGTGATGATACTTCATAGAGGTAAAACAAAGATCAATGACTTTGCTATATCAAAAGCTTCTGATGTGTTGGGTTATTCAGTAAAATTGTGAAGATTTGTAATTTTTTAAAAAAATGTAGCAAGTGTTCAAATATTAGAGCCAAATTTAGATTATATCTTTACATTTGGAGAAAGTAAAATGTGAGAATTAAGTGATTTTTTTTCCTTGTCATGGGACCATGTTAGAAATATAGAGGACCCAATGCTTTTTCAAATGATGGGGCATATGTTTAGCATGTAGAAGGTCCCAGGCATAATCTCTGGTCTCCTCAGCTAAAAAAATAATCTCAGGGAAGGGACATTGCCTAAGCCATGAGAAAAATAGTCAGAAGGGAGTGGTAGATGGGCTAAGGATCTGACTTAGCATAAGACTACTTTGTATCTTACTGGCCAAAATCCTGTTGCTTAACATAGTAGATCAAACTAGGCCCACTGAATCAATGAGGATGTAGTTAGTCAACTCCTCCATAGATTCCACTGATTGAAGTGGGCCTACTCTAAGATTTACTATGTTAAAGTAAGTCATAGAGTAGGCCCACCTGAATCAATAGAACATATGGAGGAGATGACTCAGTAAAGCCCCACTGATTCTATAAGCCTATTCTACTGTGATTTATGATATGAGGCAACAGGAATTTGGCCACTATAAGAACCCAAGCTATCAGAACAAAGTTATCTGACTCTTAAAAAAAGAAAAAAGTTCACTGCTGGATTTAAATATTTTGACATGTTTTTCCTACAAAATATTTAAATATTCTGCTGTCACTATCTCCTCAGAAACACAATTGATTGGCAGTATTCTTAATAATAATATACTCAAAAATAATATCCATGAATTAGTTCCATTTATTTAAAATATACATACAAAAAGTTTAAGCATTAAGATATATAAATATCAGTTAACGATTTCCAGCACTGGTAATACCAACATCATCTTCATGTAAACAATACACACTGCTTCAATTGTTCTCTCTTTAAGGCTCTCACTTAAAAGAAAAGCTGTTCATACAACAGATTTCAAGCTTCAGTTAATTGTAAATGAAAAGTACCTACTTGTTAGTTTGCCTCTGATGCTGAATGACCATGTTTTTCTCATGGATTGTCTCTAGTAAAGCAGTAGCCAAAGATTTAAGGTCAGAAATAGACTGTGGTGTGGCTGGTAGGCTACATCCATGGTCTTCTGATAATAGCTCTTGGACTAGAAACATTTAAAGTGAAACAAAAAGGTTTGGAACTGGCACATCTATTAATAGTACCCACAGCACTTAGAAGATCTGTGATGCCATGAATGCGCAATGCGGGTTGTCCTTCCATCAATGAAAATCATCATTATTGCATATACAATTGTTTTACCAAACTGTCACCTGGAGATCAACCTTCTGGTGATCAGCTTCTCTTGAAAAAAGACATCTAGTCCTCTTGTGGGGCCATACATGTACAAAAAGACTTACTAGCTGGTAGAACATGCATAACGCTTACAGACATAGTCTTCAAGAACCCCGGCTCACCATAATGAAACAATCACAAAGTGCAGTAGGAGTCTGGATATAAATAACAATTAGAAAGATAAATGTTGTGATTCTACATTTTGACTTTTGTCTCCTTTCTAAGCATCTTCTGTGCAAAGCCTGCTCAGGAAGAAGCACCCTGAAGAGTGTAGATACTTTCACAACCAAATCAGAGAGACTATAGCCTCAATTATATCTCACTGGAGCAATCCAGATAGTAACATTTGCATTTTTTGCCCAAATTTGCTGGCGTATAAGACTACTCTTTTGCCCTGAAAAACATGCCTCCAAGTAGGGGGTTGTCTTATACGCCAGGTGCACTTCAGTTGGGATAGACATAGCTGCCCATAGTGGCCTTCTGATGCTCGCCTGGTGCCCATAGTAGCCTCCCGATGTCTGTCTACCTCATTCTACATACCGTCCAGTATCGCTCGGTATCCAGCGCGGCCGCAGCAAGCATCAGCAGTGAGACAGGGATGTCAGCTTTTTCGATGTGACCGGCCCGTTCTGCTTGGCGGGAAGCAGCGGCGCTCTGGCCCACCCCTTGTCTCACACATGCGCACTTGCACACTAGTGCTGGTCACAAGGAGATGCAGGGGCGGGCCAGAGGCACTGCAGTTGTGCTGCGGCCGTACAATGGTGACAATGAATAGCACCTTTTATTTGGTGTGTGGAAGGTGTGCGGAAGAGGGCATAGTCTTATACGTATACAGTGGTGCCTCGCTTTACGATTGCTCCGCATTACGACAAAACCGCAATTGCGACTGCAAAACGATGGTCTGAATGGGTTTTTTTCGCTTTGCGATGATCGGTTCCCTGCTTCGGGAACAGATTCTTCGCAAAACGACGATTTTCGGACAGCTGATCGGCGGTTTCAAAATGGCCACCGGGTAAATAAAATGGCTCCCCGCTGTTTTCTGGGACAGATTATTCACTGTACATGCACCAAAAATGGCCGCCCTATGGAGGATCTTTGCTGGACTGTGAGCTTCCAGCCTATTGGAACACATTAAATGGGTTTTAATGCATTTCAGTGGGCTTTTTATTTTCGCATTACGACGTTTTCGTTCTATAGCGATTTTGCTGGAATGAATTAACGTCGTAATGTGAGGCACCACTATATAACAAACTCTATATTTTGAGTGGAAATGTTGGGGGGGGGTCGTCTTATACGCCCAGTCATCTTATATGCTGGCAAATACGGTAATAAAGTTAGACTGCATCTGGCAGCCTAATGAGCATTTCTTGATTATGTGTTCATAAGGTTATCCACAGCCCTCGTGTTCTTGCATACATGTCAACCTCTTTTCAAAGTAAACAGAAACACCATACAGATACTTGGAAATGCATCCCATTTGGGGTGAAAGTAATTCCAAAAATATTAATATAAAATGCAATAACATTAATAATACATATCCCAAAATTAAGATTAATACTTAACAAAAAAAATAACAATTGTAAAATAGCATTTAGGTAATTCTATTTAAACTCAGTTCTAAATTTAGATCTTTTAACAGACTATGGATTTATATGGATTTATCACAGGTATATCATTCCAGTATTTAAATACCACATTGATAAATTACATTTCCAACTGTTTTTCTACAACGATGATAAGTCCATAGCAGATCTCCAGTGGAAGACTATACTTCATATAGTTTTCACATAGACCAGAACAGTGCTTTACATTAATGAGGTGATATATAAAATAAAAAATAATAATAACAACATTACATCTGAACTCAAAGATTACATTTACCTTTGTGCTACACATAAAATACCCAAATTTTCCTTTAGAGACATCAGGATGCCCTAGGAAAAGCAGAGCTAGCCTTTGGAAAAGTGGTAACAACAGATGTATCCCATCCTAAAATCGGCTTGGTAGCAGATGACAGAACTACCGTGTTTCCCCGATAATAAGACCTATCCCGAAAATAAGCCCTCCCCTTCCTGTGTAACATTCCTCTAAAATAAGCCCTCCCCTGAAAATAAGCCCTACCGTATATGCCGGTGTATAACACAACCGGCCGTATAAGATGGGGCCCCGGAAAGAGGCTTTGGGGGGCGGCGGCAGGAGGAGGAGGGGAAGAGGGAAAGGGGGGGTGGCCGGGCGAGCAAGCGTTCCTCCCGGCGGCGGGAGGGAGGGAAGCGGTGCTTGCCTGGCCACCAGCCCCCCCGCATTCCCTCCTCCTCTTCCTCCTCTTCCTCCTCCTGCCACCACCGGGAGGAAAGCAGGCGGGCAGGCAGTCGGGAGGGAGGAAGAGGGAAAGCGGAGGAGGAGGAAGAGGAGGAAGAGGGAAAGGGGGGTGGCCGGGCGAGCGCACGCGCCTCTTCCCTCCCTCCCAACTGCCTGCCTGCCTGCCTCCTCCTTTCCCCGCGTTTTTTGGGTTTAAATGGCCACCAGAACAGCCGAAATGGCTGTCAATGTTCATTAAAATAAACCCTCCCCTGAAAATAAGCCCTCTGGTGTTTTTCTGTCCCCCAAAAATAATAAGACAGTGTCTTATTATCGGGGAAACACGGTAGTTTTTACAACACCCACTGAACTCTTTTTGATAATAGGTTAAAGACAACTGCTAAAATCTTGTTGATTAGTGCAAGTCAAATTGTAACTTCCAGTCTGAATCTTCCTGGTAAACATACTGCCCATGCTGTAATACCCAGGGGTACACATATGTGCTGGCTTGGTACATGTCTGTGCCCCCCCACTCCTGAGAATCACAGCCGCAATGCTTTGTTTTCTAAGGGAGACTGAAAGGTAGGATGTAACTTATGTTATGCAAGAGGATTTTGGTCAATGTTTCATATTTATTAAACAAACAATATTGTCACCTCAATCTGCATTTCTCCACCCTGACAGCTAACGGTGTAAGGCAAGTACAGAGAAATGAACAATGTGATGACAACTTATCCCATGTTATATTACACCAAACATTATAAGAAAGTGGAAGAGATACAGAGCAGCAGCAGCAGCCCTGGTTTGAATATCTATTTCTGTTCTGACCTGTGGGAGGTATTAAGGGGATTGTACTACCTGGCAACTAAACATTCTTTAAGCCAAGGCAACAAAATCTCTGCTGTTTTTACTGTAGCTGCACAATACATCTAGAATTTGCCTTTTTTTAAAAAAAGGAAAAGTAAAGTCAGTATCTCTATACAGTTACCTTGCTTTGCAGAAAGGACTCCTGTTAACGCACTGCTATTTGACTTATTATGAGACTTGGAATTTTTTCTTCTCTCTAGAGCATTCTAAACAAATGAACAAAAATCAACCAAGAAAAGTTGGTCATATATAAACATAGTGAGTATGGAATGCAAAAAGCCCCTCTATTTTTTAAGAAAGAAGATATTGCAGTACCACAGTTTCCATTTATTTCCTAGGTCGAAGCCCTTCAAACTTCTCATTACATTAAGAGGCCTGCACAGTGGTGCCTCGCCAGACGATTGCTTCGCAGGACAATTAATCTGCAAGACAACTGGATTTTGCGATCGCTGTTGTGCTTTGCAAGATGATGTTTTCTATGGACAATTTTCACAAGACGACGATTTTTCCCCATTGGAACGCATTAAATAGATTTCAATGCATTCCAATGTGGAACCGTGTTCTGCAAGACGATGTTTTCTATGGCCAATTTTCACAAGACAATGTTTTTTCCATTGGACCACATTAAAATAGATTTCAATGCATTCCGATGGGGAACTGCGTTTTGCAAGATGATGTTTTCGCAATATGGCGTTTTTCGTGGAACAAATTAACATCGTCTTGTGAGGTATCACTGTATTTTTTTTCCTTTGTCTTGGCATATGTACAGAGAAAGACAAAGAGAATGCACATGCCATATAAGAAGTAAAATATATCCTAATTTTCATAAGTTACTGTAGGTAGCTTCTTAATCTTGTAGCTTTATTTCAAAATAAAATTAAAGTCTGTGGGAAAGATGTTAATAAAATGTTTGGTTACATAGAAATTTGGGAACCAAGTTTGTCCAAGAGGTCTCAAATGGTTTTTAAACAATCAAACAAACAGATAGGTTACTTACCTGTAACCATGGTTCTTCAAGTGGTCCTCTGTGAATTCACACAAGTGGGTTAAGATAGTGCCTGTGCTGGTCCTCTCAGAATATCCTAGAGCTTTAGAGAAAAAGTAAGTTTAGATAGCCCCTATAGCGCATGCTCCGCCCATCTCAACCTCAGTTCCAATTGTCTGCCACAGTAGCCTGAGCTTAGTCTAGATTTAGTCAGTGACGGACAGTGGGGAGGCTGGGTCTGATGTGTGAATTCACAGAGGACCACTTGAAGAACCATGGTTACAGGTAAGTAACCTATCTTTCTTCAGCGTGGCCTCTGTGAGTGCACACAAGTGGGTGACTAGCAAGCTCACTTACCGGAAGGAGGGCCGTCACTGAAGAAAGGGTGTTAGAACCGCTCTCCCAAAGTTAGTCTCTTTCTTGGCCTGGAGGTCCAGTCTATAGTGTGTAATGAATGTAGGCACATAGGACCAGGTGGCTGCTCTACAGCAGGGCCGTAGATATAGCAACAGCTCTGGTGGAGTGAGCCTTGAGACCTTCAGGGAGAGGTTTGTTCTGTAATTCGTAGGCAAGGACAATAGTAGAGACCAACCATCTAGATAAGGTGGAAGAAGATGCAGCAGAACCTTTGTGTTGTCCAAAGAAACAGAGGAACAGTCTATGTGCTTTACGGAACTCCTTGGTTCACGTGACATAATATGACAGAGCCCTTCTGACATCCAGGGAGTGGAGCATGCGCTCAACATCAGAAACAGGATTTGGAAACAATGTTGGCAACACTAAAGGCTGGTTAACATGAAACTCTGAAACAACCTTGGGCAAAAACAGAACATCAGGGTACAACATAACTTTGTCCTTAAAAAACTGTAGGTAGGTAGGATCAGAGTGAAGCTCAGCTAGTTCACTTGCTCTGCGTGCTGAAGTAATGGCCACCAAAAACAGAGTCTTGAATGACAAGAGGTGGATGTCACAGGATGCCATTGGTTCAAAGGGTTGTTGAGTAAGTGAGTGAAGAACCTCTTGCAGAGACCATTGTGGAACAGGTTGTTTAACGGGTGGTCTTATATTGGACAGACCTTTCAGGAAGGCCTTAACAGTTGGATGAGAAAATAGTTTTGATGAGTCTGAGTCATGAGGTTGATAAGCAACAATAGCTGAAATGTACACTCTTAAAGTAGAAATGGACAAACCAAAGTCAAATAAGTGTCATATATAGCGAAGAAGCATAGCTAAGGAGACAAGTGAAGACTGTAATTGATGAGTCTCAGCAAATTTGAGAAAATTCTTCCATTTGTACTTGAAAAGAAGGGTGGTGGAAGATTTTCTAACCTTCTCTAATACTTCCTGAATCGATGGGAAATTCTCCAGGCTATCAGGTGGAGTGGCTCCAGATCAGGATGGAGAATTTTCCCTCATCTTGGGTGAGTAGATGTGGAAGCAGCAGAAGCCTCATTGTATCTAAAGCCATCGTCAGCAGAGTGGAAAACCATGGTTGACGAGGCCACCATGGAGCAACAAAGATTGCCTCTGTCTTCATTTGTAGTGCTCTGATCAATGCCCCCTGGATGAGAGGAATGGGTAGAAACAGGTAAAGTAGATCTGCCTTCCATGGGATCATGAAAGCATCCCCCAGAGAGTCCTTGCCCCGTCCGGCACGAGAGGCATAACTGATGCACTTCTTGTTTGTGAGGGATGCAAACATGTCCACTGTTGGTGTTCCCCATCTGTGACATAGACTTAGGAAGACCTTGTTGTCCAACTCTCACTCGTGAGTCTGGCCGTGAAGACGACTTAGTTTGTCTACCAATTCGTTGTCTGTCGTGGCCATATGGATGGCAACAGGGAAGATGTGATGTTGGCAACACCATTCCCATAGGTGCACTGCCAGGAATAGAAGAGACATGGAGCGAGTCCCTCCATGTTTGTTGATGTAATACATGGTTGTGGTGTTGTCTGTGATGAGCTGTACACCACAACCCTGTATCAGAGGTAGGAATGCTCGGAAAGCCTTTATAACCGCCAGTAGTGCCAGATGATTGATGTGGACCGTGGACTCTTGACTGGACCACCGAGCATGAATTTGATATCTCCCGCAGTGTGCTCCCCATCCTGTGGGACTCGCATCTGTAGTGACTTGGCATGTTAGTTGCAACTGCCGGAAGGGCCTGCTGACGGACAGACGTGGAAGAAATGTGCACCACTGCAACTATTGTGCCAGTTCTGGTGTGACACACAGTAGCTTCTGTGGACTGTCTGTTAATGGGTTGAAGTGAGTGATAAGCCATGATTGAACAGCACGCAACTTCAAACGAGCATGAGTGACTGCAGGCATTGTTGAGGCCATCAGTCCCAGAAGATGCTGTGCGTGTTTTGCTGTGACCTTTGCATGTGGTCGAAACTTGCGAATCGCTGCGTTGATTTTCCTGATGCGCTCTGGTGGCAGGAATATGCGAGCCTTGACGGAGTTTAGTCTTGCCCCTATGTAGTCCACCACCTGTGATGGGATTAGGTGGGACTTTTTGTAGTTGATCGACAGTCCTAGAGATACGAGAGTGTCGAGGACAAAGTTGGTGTCCTTTATCACTCTTTTCCTTGGAGGGAAGACAATCAGCCAGTCGTCTATGTAAGGATAGACTTGTATCCCATGAACACGCAGATGAGCTGCCACAGGGACCATACATTTGGTGAATGTCTGTGGAACTGTTGACAGGCCGAACGGTAGGGTGAAGCATTGGTAATTGGTATTCTGAAAGATCAGTCTGAGATATTTCCTGTGGTCTGGATGGATGGTGATATGAAAGTAGGTATCCTTCAGATTGACCACAACAAACCAGTCCTTTTCCTTTAACAGGTGAATGATGGATTCCAGAGTCACCATCCGGAAGCGACATGGATGAAAGTAGGTGTTCAAATCTCTCAAGTCTAGGATGGGTCTTAAGCCTCCGTCCTTTTTGGGTACCGCAAAGTACCTGGAGTAAAACCCGTTCGCCAGATCTCAAATGGGAAGTCTTTGAATGGCATGTTTTTGGAGCAAGGTGAGAATCTCTTCTAAAACAGGATCGAAGGAGGTAAGCTTGACCTGTCCTAGAGGAGGTAATTCTGTAAATTCCAGACAGTAAGCAGACTGTATAATGTTTAAGACCCAGGAGTCTTTTGTGATAGCTAACCAGTTCTGTAGAAAGGGTGAGAGACGAGTTGTGTGAGTGACTTCCAATGGTGTTATTTCCAAGTCAAAGGTACTGCTTATATTTTTTTCCCTGTTGGTTTATAGGATTGTCTGTGTTGACTAGTCTGAGGCTTGAAAGTGGACGAGAATGCTTGTGGTGATCTAGCCTGACCCTGATTTTTGAAAGAATGGTAAGGTTGAGATGCTGATGGTTGATAGGATTGCTGGGGATATTTGGTATGCCACTGGAATTTGGAGTATCTGGGTTGTTGCTCTATGGTGTAAGACTTTGCGGTCTTCTTACTCTTGTGCAGGTCTCCAGGATGTCATCTGTTTTTTCATTGAAGAGATCGGATACATTGAAGGGTAAGTTTTCAACCCTTGTCTTAATATCATCCATTATGTTTGAAGAGCATAGCCAGGCATGACTACGTAAAGTAATATTAGAAGTCAGGGTTTTAGCTGCAGCGTCTGCTACATGATGGGAAGCTAGTCTCTGATGCTTTCATAGACTCAAAGCTTCAGCATGAGCATTGAGGCACAGTTGTCTAATTTCCTCAGGAGAAACCTCTAGGGCAGGTAATACACAAGCCCGTAATTGTCTTTGATATGCGCCCATAGCGACAAGGTAATTGACCACATGTAAGACAAAAGTAGTTAGAGAATACATCTTTCTCCCCAGAACCTCTCATTTCCTGCCATCTCTATTGGTGGGAGTGACATGACCCTTGCCCGGTGACTTTGATGAGCTTGACTCCACTATCAATGAGTTTGGAATAGGGTGCTTAAGTAAGAAGGTCGTCTCTGGTCCATGGACTCTGTAGAGGTTCTCTGTTCGATGAGACACTGGCAGAGAAGTAGCTGGTTGAGCCCAATGTTCTTTAATTAAATCCATAAGGGCAGGTATGTATTTTAAACTTAGAGGAGGAGATCTCTCTTGATTAATGTCCCCAAAAATCAAGTCCTCTGTGGGAGCAGGTGGTTGCTCTGTATTCATTTTCAAAGTTTTAGCCATGCGAGACACCATTTGAACGTGTGAGGAGAAATCCTCAGAG